CTGATTAGAAACAAAATGTTATTATTTTTCCTTTGCATTTGGTAAAGCAAATATCATGATTAAAATAACAGTTTATCAAATATTGTCATATACTTTAGGATTATAAAATTGTATAAACCTTTGCATCGAGTTCAGTTTTCCTACTTTGTGCTTCCTCACCTTTAAATATCCTAGCTAACCCCCATTTTACTGTCCTTAAAGATCACCTTCATCCTGTTCTGGCCTTTAGTTAGTTCTGCTGTTACTCTAGTCAAATCTCAAAAGCCAGATGATCATGGTAACTGGCCAACCTGGTAAACTACAGTTCATCTTGGAGAGCTTCTCCCCCACATAGAAACGTATGACCCCCCCCTCTACCCTCTCCCATTCTTTATCACTGGTTGAACGTCCACATGTGATAACCCTTCTCTGCTTCACTCAGCAGCTTCATTATCAGTAAAGTCAAAGTATCTCTGTTTAACCAGGTATTGGAGCTCCTGAGGCACTACACTGTATTTAGTATCTGAACTCTTTTCAGGGATTGTAATTGTTTGGGTTTCTTAAATTAGGTCCAAATAATACATGGAAATGGGTTACATATAAAATAAATATTTTCTTTAGTGTATCAATCATTTGGGTCAATGATTCATAAATGTTCTAGTCCAGAATTACCACATAATTCTGTCATTTATTCTTTATTTACATTACAAAAATAATTAAATTTAGAAGCTACTAGTTTTGTATTTATTTTATGTGCATATCTTATCAGTCAGAAATAGGTATATGTTTATGATCATCAGCTATATTGATTTCCATGTCAGAAAAATCCCATTGCAGGAGGCTGAACTACCAGAACAGGTCTTAGAAGGAAAGCATCAATTGCTGCTGCAACTGTTCATATTCCATTTACTTAGAAACAATTGCATTGCTATGACAAGCATTTTTAATTGGTCAGTGTTCTCTGAGGCGCACAGTGGTAGGTTCAGAATCCTTCTTGACTCAATGCTTCCAAAACACCAGTAATACTCCGTTAGTACTAGCCTGAGATATGAAATCAACCCCCGTCTACCTCTCCCTGCTTAAGTGCCGGTTTTGTTTTTAGGGACCCAGTGCCTGCAAAACAGAGTAGTTGCCACTAGATGGCATTAGTGCTTTGTCAAGAGAGTTCTGAAGGCCCAGGTTCCAGTCACTTTTACACACCTAAATGTACCAGATTTTTAACCACTCACAGCAGCTGTTGAATAAACCTTCTCAATCCAACTGGTGGAAACTTATCTCTGTCTCTTGGATGTGAGTGATGTAAATCCAAGGAAGAAAATCCAGGGCCACATTTCTTTTCTTTTTTTTTTTTTTGGTGGGACCCTCGCCAGTTGCCGGGGATCGAACTGGCGCTGCAGAGGCTGTGGGCAGCCTCGCAACCCAGCGCTCAACTCTGTGCCACCAGGGGTAGGCCATTTCTACCTCACCTTGTTGCCAAAGTCCGTTTTAGTCCTTTGATGTCTGGAGTATCATGTTTCCCTATAGTGTGCTTTTCCATGTTATTCCAGGAAGATGCTTTTCCTAATTCTCAATTTCCTTTTTTCTCCCGACAACTTCTTTTTCTGAATCTTGGTTTCATCATTCATGATTGGAATCAGCCAACAAGGTTGCTTTAGGGTTAGAAGTGATTTATTCAAAATATTACATAATAGCATCATTGCCAGATTTTGCTATTGTAGGCACTAGATATCTCATTTAAATTTATTCATGTGTACTTGTAGCCACTTAAGGAATAACATCTCGAACTGATGAAGAGCTCTAGCAACAGAGGTGCATAATAAAAGCACCAAGCTAATCCATTGTCTTTCTCTTCTATGGAATAGGGTTTCTTAGAGATGTATACAGGTACATCTCTTTGTGTATAAGACAAAGTTTAGCAATCACTTTTCCTTTATATTTGTCAATTAAATTGACAAGTGCCACCACTGACTTCTCAATACCCTCTGTGCTTTCCCGTTTTTTCATCTGAATTCAGGAGTAAATAGTCCACCTGTCATCATAAAAAGCTCTCACTTTGGTCAGGTTCCCCTTTGAAAGGCTGAACTTTTCAACCATTTTTTCCTCTAGGTGAAATTCTGACACCTTGGCTCTTAGGTGGAACATTTCAGTGTTTGTGGTGCTACTATTTATTATTTTCTATACTGAGTTTAAATTTTACATATAAAAGTATTTCTTCCTCCTTTATACTGCCAGAGTGCTTTGCATTAACCATATTATTATTGGTTTACACATTCATCTGTCTACCCCCTTAACTATATACTTAAAAAAAAAAATCTGAGTGCTAAACGCATAGTAGGCACTAAAGTAAATGTTTATTATGTTTGCTCTGTGCCGGTTTATTACTGAAACCCTATTCCATAGAAGAGAAAGACAATAGATTAGCTTGGTGCATTTAAGCCCCTCTGTTGCTAGAACTCTTCATCAGTTCGAGATGTTATTCCTTAAGTGGAAATCTTAAGTACCCATGAATAAATTTAATTGGTTGTGAATTTCAAAGGTAATATTTCCATTTCACGTGCCTCAGTCTCCTTTTTTCTTTACCAACACTGTAATCAAGGCCCAGGTTCTTATTTAACCTAACAATTATCCTTCTTTACCTAAGTAGTATGTAACTTGACCTTGAAAGGCTGCTTCACTTGACGGGATGGCAGTGAATCGCGCCACCAGCTGTGTCGGCTTTCCCAGTGTCTTGGTACCTGTTAATAATAGGAGCTGATTTGGGAAGAGGCTTCCCTTTCTTATATGGAAAGTGCTGGAATTTGCAGGTTATGGAGCTGCTTAGTCTTTCACAAGTTATGATTCCTTTTGTATGCACAATTATTTGGACTTTTTCTCATAGATCATAGCTCTTTCAATGCCTTTAACAGTTTCTGAGGTGTGTACTTGTCTGGTGTGCCTGTGACATCATTGCTGAGCTTGTCTTTTAAATACTGCTTCAAGCTGTAAAAATATGACATTGAAAAGAATGGCATATAGTTTAATGTACATGAAATTGTTGGCATGTGGGGAAAGTATCTAAAATATTACAGTTAATACAAATGGACTAAAGTGATAAGATTTCAGTGAATATTTCTTTGAATTTGGGTGACTAAGAATTACTTCAGCATGAAAAGAACATCCACAGAAAATGATGTTTGTTTAAAATTATACACAAATTGAAAAATTTCAGTGTGTTGAAAATCAAGATAATTGGGCTGAAAAAATATATGGCAGGCAAAGCTGTGAAAAATTAAGCATGCTAATATAAAAGGCACATTTATTATTAATAATATTAATTTTTTTTAAATATTATAACATGCTGGGCACCCTCCTGAGGCCTAATCCAGTATTTTAATAATATTTTCAGAGAGATGCTATATTTTAATTCCATTAAACAGGTGAAGAAACAGACATGCGCACACTTGCATCGCTGTGGGTAGCCAGCAGTGGACCATGCGCTGTGTCTGCTTGCATGGCTGCCTTTTTGATCCCAGGAGTGTGGCTCAGATGTCCATTCTCATAACCACTACCCTAGATTGCTTTAAGTAGGCAAAGGCCAAGAAGGAAGTTTTAAAAAGAAGAAATTTCAGTTTCACTAATAATACAAATAAAATTTTCAATAAAAACAAAATAGTATTTCCTCTTAGGAGTAGAATGGTGATGAGAATAAGAAATTTTTGTGGAATGGTGGTAGGAACATATATCTATCAGGATGGGCCTGGAGATGTGTCCTCTTCAGCATGTTTAGCCACAAGTTCCTATTGGCCAGAGACTTGGCTAATTGGGAATCAATAGGGGGTGGAAGCTGTTCCCCTGTTTGGGGCACGAGGGATATGCCATTGCCTTTGGTCACTCTTCAGGAACACTCTGGAAAAGGCTCGGCTTGACCTGGAGTCAGGTTTTTGAGCTTTAGGTGTCCACTTGGCCAAGTTCCTGGCTCTCCGATAGCATCGTGTACATAGGGTCTGGCCCGCGGTAACTGCGTGTGGGTATAGCAGGACAATGGAGTGTTTAGAGGCTTTCTTTTGAGGAAGTCTCTGAAGAGACTGCAGGGGTGTCAGCTTTGGTAATACATTTTAAATTGTAAGTACTGTGGGATGAAGTCTAAATTTCATAAAACTGTACTCAGTAGCCTTTAACTATTGGCAAATGATTTTTGACATTTAGTTTGGTAGAAGATACAGTGAATATAGGTCTATTTCCTTTATTCAAACTCAGTAAATGGTTTGGGACAATTAATTTCCAATTGTTTCCCAGTAGAGCAGATTTACTTGTATATTAATGAGGCACAGGTGTTAGGCCCCTGGTGTCTGCGTGCCTGGGAGGCATATTTCAGTTGTTTATCTGCTCAGCCATAGGTACTGCAAGGTACTCAAGCTTGCCTTTAACAGTTTTTACAGTGAGGCTTTTTAATTTTTTGATGTTTTTTTCAAATTTGCCTGCACCTGTTAAAATTTTAAAACTGATCATGTAGAAAGAAGTTGTAGAGATTTCAATAGTAAATAGCACTAAAAGTTAAAGAAAGTAGTCTTCTATTATATTTAACTGCCTGACTTGACATTAAAGAGAAATGGGTTCATTTAAACAGATAATAAATGTGCAAAGCCAATATAATCATCAGTACACTTTTTTGTTTTGTATTTATTGAAGCAGGTGTATCTGTGTCAATGACTAAAACAGTCCTTCACTCATATTAATATTCATTTTTTTCTTGTTTATTCACTGAACTGCACTACCAACATTTTAGAGGAAATGGAATAGCCTCCATAGACATTATGAATTTCAGTAGCTGGCAGAATTATAGCGATCTACATATTCATTAAATCTACAGAAGAATTCTGTCCAAAAAGACAGCCATGCATTCAGAAACAGTACACAACTAAATATATACGTTTTAAAAGTTGCATTTCTTAGACTTACTTAAAATTAATTTCCTGTAGCACTCCTCTCCAAGCAGAAGAATTTTAACAAAAGGATCCCATGCTTTGGTTTCTTGCATATAGGAAAGAATGGGAAGAACTATTTGTAAACAACAATTACTTGGCAACAATAAGGCAGAAGGGGATTAATGGGCAGCTGAGAAGCAGCAGGTTCCGCAGCATTTGCTGGAAGGTAAGAAGAAAATATTTATTTACAGTTTGTGCTTGCAGTATATCAACACATTACCTGATACCCTGGAAGATTACCCGTGCAAGGATCACTGAATTTGCCAGGACACTTTACTCTCAATTTTTTGGCCATCTATGTTTATCTTTCATTGGACGTTTACTCGTAAGGTCGAAGTATCTAAGTCCTGAATAGTGATGCTGAAGGAGTCATTTGAAAAACCGTCTTCATCTCGTTTGATGGTGCAGAAATCAAGCAACATTTTTACATTCCCCAGAGGCTTTTGCAGAAATCCCTGAAGCTAGGAAGGAGCAGAGGGGGATTATCTTTCAGGTTCTTATTATATCAAGTACCATCATTTAGTCATCCTTCCTTTTTCCTTCACAAATTGCAGATGGAAAAGAGGTTTCATTTTCTTTTCCTAGAAATGAAATGAAGGATGTCAAGAAACAAATGGAAGGAAACTGGGTTAGCCGCCTTTTGAGAGGAAGGGCCTTTGGTTACCAAAACTAGGAACAATAATCTACAGTTATCTTTTTAGTGCTTGGAAATATTGTCCTTTTTTGTTCTCTTAAAGAATTAATTCAGGTTTCGACTCATTTTTAATACTACTTCTATCAAAACTTTTTAGGGTTTATCTGCATCAATTGAGTATAAGAAATCTGTGCAAGTAAGACAGTAAGAAACACATGATATATTAGACAGTTTCAGATTTAATAATTTAGATTTAATAATTAAAATACATTTTTCTTTTGTTAGATGCAGGCAGTAAAGACGGGAGACCTGCTGCTAGAATATTTGTACGCAAATATGTGTACCCTACCCCCCCATTCCTTGTTTAACTTTTAGTACCCTTCATTTGCTAAAAATAAGCTCAAATCCAGATTTATTTTAATGTTATATTAAACTAAATTAAATCAAATTTGTCTTTCTAAGAATGCTTGTTATTTTCATAAGTTGATTGCCAATTGTAAATTATATTTTCTGTTATAAAAGGAATGACTTCACTTCTTAGGCTGTGAACTCGGATTGTTCTTCTCGGTCCTTTAACTGTTTAAGACAAATATTAACCTTGAAATTACCAATTTGACTTTTTACCTGTATGAGAATATAAAATGAACAAATTGAACAAATTGAACAGTGAATTTTTCTTATTCATTTTTTAATGTAAGTCTGGCAGGAAGGTTGACTTTATAGTATAGCTTTTGGGTTCTTGTTTTTGGGCCTTTGTTCAGCATCTGAATTATCAAATTATGTATTTCTCAAATATCCCCATATATAATTTATTGAGAATTGGAATGATGCTATGAATATAAAATAGCATAAATATTAATTTCTCCTTTAATTTTCAGGTGATTCTATTTGGCACAGTTTAACATTTTGTTTCTGATTTTTCACCAGTTTCCATTTTTTTTCCCTTGACAGCTATTTCTTTGTGTCCTTCCTCAAGATAAAAGTCAATGGATAAGTAGAATTAAAGAATTAAGAGCTTGGTATAGCAACATTAAAGAAATAGTAAGTTGCTCTTTAATTATGATGATTGTTTTTTTAGGAATGCTTTTAAGTCCAGTAACCGCTGATCTTAGTGTGTGTGTGTTTTCTTTCTTTCTTTTACCAGCACATCACAAACCCAAGGAAGGTTGTTGGCCAGCAAGATTTGATGATCAACAATCCCCTTTCACAGGATGAAGGGGTAAAGTTCACTTTTATTCATATCTCAACATTTTTTACCCCCAAGAATGTACTTTGGACTGGTATCAATCAAAACCAACACAAGGCGGTTTCATACCAACTGTTTTTTTTTTTTTTTTTTTTTTTTTTTTTTTTTTTACCCCACATACTATACCACCTAACTCAAATGGAAATTCTTCCATGCTGTGAATATCCTGTGTGGTAGGAGTTTTATGATCTATCTATGTGGAATGCCCCTTTCATCCCGGGGATCTGTAGGAACTCAGAGCAATATGGAAGAGCTTATAGACACGGATGGAATTGTTTTCATTAAGGATGCCTTGGGGAGGCAGAGGAAAGTTCCCTTTTATGCTAGAAAGAGGATTGGTTTGATAGCCTCACTTCCCTGAAAAATGTAACTATTTCTACTGCGTCTATAAAGAAGATTTTAAAAATCAGGTAAAAGATCAGGTCAAATGCCATGCATATTCCAGTGAGAACCAGGAATGATTGTTACCTTAGAACTGTAGAATAGAATCTTCTACAATTGCTGCATAATTCCGATATTCATGCTACCACAATTTTTTTCCAGTTAATATATAATACTAGCATTTCTGCTTCCTGATAAATATAACTATTATAGTCTATGCTATAACAGCTTAAAATATTAAGTATTTTGTAAAACTAATTCACATTTTTAAAAATATATTAAAATCTATTTTATTAGAAACAAAGCTTTGTAGAAAAATTACATTTGGTGTGTTGGCAATTCAGGTCAGCTTCAAGTTGGGACCAGTTGGCCCTGCTCTGGTATAAGGAGGCCTTTTATTGTCATAAGTGTAGTAGCAGGTGTATGGCAAAGTATCATTCACTTTATATAGATAGTAGAAATTTTTTAAATAATTACAATAATATGTGGAAAAATTGATTTTAGAACAGGATGTCTTTTTGAAATTGAACTAGATTTAGTGAAAATTCCAACCTCAGGTGTTCTGCCATGTGAAATGACAAGCCATAGAAGAACAAATTTAATTATTTAATTCAGTTTATTACATTGAGATTGTAAAAGTCAAGCAAAGGTGTGAGAATGTTTTCAATAGTGTGTTCTCCTTATTTCAGAGTCTTTGGAACAAATTCTTCCAAGATAAAGAACTTCGATCGATGATTGAACAAGATGTCAGAAGAACGTACGTGGAACTATTTACAAGTTGCTTTCAATAGTTCAAATTGGTGTTACCACTTTATAATTTAGGAAAATACAAAAATCATAGAGGAGACTTAATTGAATATATTATTCTGTTTGTGCTAATAACAAAGTTATAACTTTGACCAGATTTTGAAAATAATGATTATTTTCTATTTTTAAAATACAGATTTCTGTGTTCCTTTCTCAAAATAATTTTATTTATAATAACATTAATAATATTAAAATAATATTAATAAGTTTTTGAAACAATTATTTGAAGTTACATGCTTCTGATTGAGGTTATTATTAGGCAGTCATAATACTAGTATTGCAAGATAAATTTATATCTTTATATATTTGAATCCTTTCTAACCATATTACTTTTTAAATTATAAATATTATATTTACCTTTCTATTTCTCTGCAAGACATTCCAGTTTGAAAACACCCTTTTATCTCAATCTATTTAGTATTTGCACATGAAAGAGTATTTCATACTTAGCATGTAGTTTATATCCATATATTTTATATACTGGGCCTCATCTTCCTAGACATAAGACGCACATGGAATTTGTGTCAGATGAGCCTAGTGTTAGCTTCTAGCTAAAATATACTTGTAATATTGGTCAAATTACTTTCAATGAACATCTCTCCTGCCAGTTTCCTTTTCTGTAAAACAGGGCTAATAGAAACTGCTTTACAGTATTGTTGTACAATAGATTTATGAGTACATAATAGGAAGTTAGGTGTGTTTATGCTTTAAGCTATAAGCAATTATATAACTGTGAATTTAATCTTTGGAATCTAGGATGAACCAGATACATCAAAGGTCGGGTGTATCTCTGGTGCCTTCCTCCAAGTTCTTCACAGCTCTGCCTTTCTTCCTCTTCCTTGCTAGCTAATATCACCATGTCAAGGCTTCAAGCTCTCTGGCATTTACCTTTTTTCAGGTCTTGAACTTTGAATAACTAGATGGATGGCTGTTAACATTAGACTGCTTGTCAATAAGTGAAATTTTCAGTTTAAAGTGGAAATAATTCAGAAGAATCATGTGTTTAGAAAACAACAAAACCATAGATAACTGGCAGTGGTAGCAGGTTGGCAGGTAGAAATCCAGGAACATTTTGATGAGCTTGAGTTCTCCAGTTAATCCAGGAGTAAGAAATGGTTGTAGGGAAGCTACTCCCAGAGGCCTTGGATGGTAGTTCCTGGTCCTCTCTAGTTATATAGTTTCAGAAAATAGAATGCCACTGTATTGGTACACAGTAGGCACTCAGTAAATACTTGTTGAATAAATGAATGATTGAATTTCCTCAGCAATCACTTAAGTAATCAGTAATCAATCATAGTAAAGCAGACCTCGTAAAAGCAAAATACATGGTATATATTGCTAATCAAGTCATAAAGTATCCCCTTTAAAAAAAATGTCTAGGCAGTTAGCTTAGAAAAATGGACAGCTTCAGTTTGATCTGACTGTTAAGGATTGTAATCAGTCTCCTACTGTTATCAGGCAGAAGTACAGGCACCGTGGCGCTGAGGCAGAGTCACGCTTTCAGAGGCCACTCGTGGGCCAAAATATTAAGTAAATAACAAGAGGAGAAACTCAAATAGTGAAACTGAATAGGAAGTGGCATTGGTAGTCTATTCATCATTTTGGTTGCTTAGATCAAATATTTCTGCTTTGCTATGTAGGAAAGTTTTCTTTCTGGTATCAAAAACTATGTTCTGGGCCTCCCCGGTGGCGCAGCGGTTGAGCGCTGGGTTGCGAAGCTGCCCGCGGCCTCTGAGGCGCCGGTTCGATCCCCGGCTGCTCCCCGGCCACCGGAGGAGGGTCCCGCATGGCGCGCAGACCTCTCCTGCCGCCCGCTGCTCCCCTCAGCAGTGTACTTCGGTCCTTCTGCCTGCCTGCTCTGCTCCCCGCTCTGGCTCTGGTGAATTCTCTCACCCTCCCGCGCTTCTGGCTGTACCCAGTGCATGTATAAACAAAAACAAACAAACAGATAAATGAATGAATAAACAGACATGCCTCTATTAAAAAAAAAAAAGATTAAAAACTATGTTCTTTTAACTATTTGGTATTAAATTTTCTATGTATTTTTCTTATGCAGTGTGTGTGTATGTTAGTGTGTGTAGCATATATCACATGGCTTTTTTTTTTTCCTGCTTATAATTTGTCTCCTCTGATACACTTTTATTTAGCAAACCCAAGATCAAGGAAGGCAGCTCAGAAGCCCACAGTTTAGGTGGGATTGGTTGCATGCCTTCTTCCCTAGAAGACTCCTGTATCTCTCTCCATGTCTAAGAATAAGTCTCTGTGCCATCTCTGTATAAATGCAAGAAACAGCTTGCAAAGTAAGATTGCCAGTCTTACTTTAAAGCTCCCAAATTGCCTAATCATAAAAGCTGAATAGCTTGAATAATTTTACTTCTTTAGGTAATACATTCTTTTTATAAGGCACTATATGATATAAAACCATGGTTTTCAATCCTGTCTGTGAAGCAGCTCAGACTGCGATAAGGGATGAAAGGAAGACATACAGCTCAGTGTTACAGTATTTCTGATTCACTAGCATCTTTGATAAGAATTTTTTTAACATATATTTATTGAATGTCTTCTGTATTCTCATCCTATCCTTTGCAATGGGTGCTCAGAGTGGTGAATAAGACAGACAAGGGCCTGCTATCACAGGATGTATATTTTAATGCTCCATGTGGGGGTGGATTGTGAGACAATAGACATGTATAAAGAGAATAATGGTAGAGGGTGACAGTTACTCTGAAGAGAGAAAGCAGGGTCATAGGATAATTAGAGAAATGGCCAGCTGCCTCAGAACCAGTGATCAGAAAAGGCGTCCCTGAGAAGATGATATTTGACTGAGATGCAAAAGATTATGTAGAGCCAACCATGTGAGGATCTAAGGGAAGAACACTCCAAGCAGAGGAAACAGCTGGTAGAAAATTCCTCAGTACGAATGAGCTCGGTATTTAGAGGAGCAAAAGGGAGACAGGGATAGCTGGAGACAAGTGATGTCAAGTAGGGAAATCTCAGAGCAGGGCAAGTGCCAAACAGTTTTATAAGCCATAGTAAAGAGTTGGGATTTTATTATCATTGCATTGGGAAGCCATCGAAGGATATTAAGCAGAGTATGGTATCTAAGAAGGTAACTCTGACTCCTGTGCAGTGGGGTAAAGGTGGAGGCAAGAACAGAGGCAACTAAAGCAGTTAGAAGTCCACTGCAGAAGTCCTCTGGTAACCACTAACTTCGTTTTTGCCAAGTTCAACTTCTTTATTTTTTTCTGTTATTTGTGTGCAATTTTTTTTTTTTTTGGGTTGTTGTTGTTGTTTGTATTTATATTCCTCAGATGAGTGAAACCATCCAGTATCTGTCTTTCACTTTTTGGATGATTCACTCAACACTGTTGCCTCAGCTCCCCTCCCCCTCCACCCCCTTCCTTTAGGTGAGAAAAGATGCAAGTGGAATTGTTGATTTTTGTTTAGTTTTTATTAGTTGTTAGGATGAAGCGGTGACTTCCCAGCTCCATGTATGCAGAACCTGAAACCTGCAGTTTCTCCACAGTTCCCTTCTGGATCAGTGCTCTGGCTTTATTCCCTGAACAGGTTTTGTGATTTCCATTTTTCCATGGCCCGCATTACCTGACCTCTCCTCTGCTAGAATGCTGTTTCTCCCCTCCACTTCCTGTTGGATTCCTGACAACTCATCTTTCAAGGCCTGAGTTCATCACCACCCTCTGTTCACGAAACATTTTCCAGTTTTTACAATTAGAAATAATTTGTGCCTACTCTTTGTTCTAGTAGAATTTTCTTAATAACTTTTGATAATATTATTTAATTTTGTTTGGTCTTATGTTTTTTTAGACCTCCCAATGCAAGAGTGAATAATCTTCCAATGATTAAGTAATTTATATTAATCTCATCAGGGTGCCAGACACTGGGGATGCCAAGATAATTATGACTTGGACTATTAAGAAGCCCAAAGCCCAATACAGAAAGCAACCAAAAAGTCTGTTACAATGCAGCATAACTGGTACCATAATAGATACAATAAGTACACAAGCTCTAGGGTTAGCCCAAATGTCATCTTTCACACTTTATGGTAAGCTCCTGGAGGGCATGGATCTAATCTTGTTTCTGTCTCACTGTACGGAGTCAATGTGATGCTTAATAATTAATCATTGATTGTGAATCTTATCATTAATGATCAGTGTTGTTCAATTTTAGTAATAACAAGCTCTAACATTGTCTTCAGTGGCATAAGCACACTTTTAAAAATACTGTTATCAACCTTCTAGACTGAGTTTAACAAGATAATTTCATTTCTTAAGCTGCATTGTTGCCATGATTATTGAATTTGATCTGAATGTGTCACTGTATTAAATATCATCTCCTCTTTCAACTAATTTTAATATTCTTTTACCCTGAGAACCTTTTTGCCTCAAAGGGTTTTATATTCATTTCAATTAATTGTTCCTTATCTCAGCCTAATGAGGTTGTTACTGTTCTCATTTTTATTGCTGAAAAAAACTGATAATCAAAAGGTAAATCAAGGGCCTTCCAATTTATAGCATTTCTAAGTCAGGGCTTGAAATGTCCATTTCTAGCCAATTTTGCAATGCTTTAAAAGGCTGTAACATCAAAGGAAATTCATATTATTTTAAATGATAGGAAATATTGAGTTAGAATAAAATCTCTTCCATATTAAATGCCAAAGAAGTCTGTTCTTTTAGTCTGTCAAGGTCTATTCCGAAAGTATATTTATAGTATCTATAATATCAATGGCAAATCAACAGATTTATAAGCTATTGCCAAATAGTATCTTCTTTTTTCTGATGTGTTCTCCCTCTTTTGAATTTAATGATTGAAATTCTTGAACTTACTTTTATCATTGTAACTCAAGCTGTTAAATTTTATCTGATTGCTTATTGAGTAAGCTACTCATCACCTTCAGTTTTTTATCTTTTATGTTTCTGGCTACTATCGGGT